GCCTAGCTACGCTCTTGGCACAGACCATTGGTCACCACAAGATTAACTATGGCTATCTACCTGTTTAGATCTCAGTAGGACACAGTAGGATTCCAGCACCCTGACTCTACAGGACTTTTGAACAGGTGAGCGCCAGTGTTCAGCATCCTAGACAGTGTCATTTTTTTTTTTTTTTGCATAAAGATACAGCCTTTCTCCCTCCTCTATCTAGTAGGAGACACCATTTCGGTGATACAGTGTTGCAGGCTTTTGGATTACAAGTCATTCTTGGACACACTCTCAATCCACTATGTTAGAAACAGTTAACAGGGAAACACTTAAAATGTATTTAACTGGCAAGAATATCACCACCCCCAGCCCAGCACCTGGCCAAGAGGGTTATATCCTTGGGCGCCAGAAAAAAAAGCAAAATAACCCATTTGTTTAGTGAATTCAGAAATACTTAAGTCTCTGCCAAAGAGAGCTCAAAGCAACCCAGTTCCAGGATTCAGTTTGAGTAGTTGCTACCATTCCGCCTCTAATCCTCTTACGCCCTTCCCATGCTTCTCACTAGCCAGGAACTGGCTGTGTTCCACAAGAGCAGCTAAATCCATGCCACGGTTTTGCATGATCCATCCACCGGGCTGCTTTTTCAGCAACAGTGGTGGCCCCCAATCTTCAGTCACCCCTGTACTTTTATCCTACTTGCTTTCTGCCATAAAGCATAAATCCACTCCTGGATTTTCCTGGGCTCTGCTGAGGAGGACTAATCCCCAGCAGCCTTTCAGTCCAGGTGATGGTGTCCTAACGGTGATCCTCCCTTCTGGTCATTTCTGGCCTCTCACGCACATGCGCTACCTCATTACAGTCAAGAGGGTGCGGAAATCCCTCAGCACTGAGATAAGGTTGCAGTTGGTACACAACCTTCATGTACCTGCAGTTCAGGGGCCGGGTGTATACAACTCCAGTACTGTGTGGTGGAAATAGAAACTGGGGATTTGGGACAACAGCGCACAAGGCACCTGACTCCACGGCCATATTTCATATCCTCCCCCAATCGACCCTAGCTTCCAGCTTTCTTCTTCCACTGAGAGGTGCCCCTAGGTTGGAAAGAGCAAGATACAATAAATTCCAGAAAATGCTCATGGTTGCCAAAAGATGGTGTTTTACATATGGAGAGAGGCCACCAAAAAAAATAACATTTTAGAAGGAGCCACGCCTTCCAGAGCAGTGGTTCTCAACCTGTGGGACTCTACCCTTTGGGATTGAACAGGGGTCACATATCAGATATTTAACAGTAACAAAGTTACAGTTATAAGGTAGCAATTAAATATCTTACCCGTGTGGGACACTGCAGCATGAGGAACTCTATTAAAGGGTCCCAGTATTAGAAAGGTTGAGAACCACTGTTCTAGAATCTAGAGCTTGGCATCTGTTCATCGCCTGCCCCACTTCCAAGCAAGTTCTTTTAGACATTTTAGGAAGGGAAAATAAAAGCATATAGTAAGAGTACATTCCCCTCTTTTGCCTCAAACTTTCGTATGATTTTGGTTTTCTTTAAAATTTAGTAATTTATTCAGTGTTCTAGTTTGCTGTAGTTGTCAATTTGACACAATCTCGAGTGCTCTCCAGGGCAATTTGGATGTGTCTGTCCCCAGCCAACTGTTACAGGGTGACCCTTCCACATTCGAAAGAACAGACCCAGTAATATGCTCCTGCCAGTGCTTCCTAGTCTTCAGGGCCCAGATGCGTGTCCACGGTAAGGCAGGAATTATGGATTGATGTGTGAGGATCTTACTGGAACAGACAATAGAAACTTTGAAGCCAGTGAAGCCAAGGGGGTCAAAACCAAGTGGGACGTTACCTGCTGTCAGATACAAGGTAGCAGTGGAGTCCTAAAGGGAACATATATCAAAAGCATCGGGGATAGACTACTCCAGAGAAGAGGAGAAACTTAAATCTGCATATGGCCACTTCATTCAGAAGCTTGGTGCAGATTTGCCAAAGGCATTATAATGGCAAGAAGATACTGACATTCGTCTGTGTCCTTTAGAGAACAGCTTTCTAAACAATTAGCCATCTTGGGGGGTAGTTATCCCCACTCAGACCAAGGTACACCTCTTCCTGTCTTTATAATAGAAGACCCAGAGAACTCAGTCCTGTGAGCTCTCTTGCTCCTTTGTCCAGCCATTACTGGGGGTAGTGGAGAGGGGCAATAGCAAGCCAGGAAAGGATGGGCTCTTGTAGATCCTGTTCACCTATGTTGCTCCCCCAATCATCTTTACTTCCCCCTATCATGTTGGATAGGAAAACAGAGCCTGGGCCTGGTGGGAGGAGCTGGTAATCCCACAACACTTTCCATGAGACAAGACAGGAACTGGCAGCATGAAAAACAGAGGTGGTGAAAGTCCCTGTTAGGACTTCTGAGCCTACCTATCTGTGAAAAGCAAGGCCTTTAACAAAGTACTCACTTTGACTTTTTGGACAGGGGAAACGAATCATGTATTCAAGGGTACACCTTATCCTTGTCTACCTGATGCTTTAATATGGCACTGTGCGGTCCTGCTTTGCCATTTTCTCCAGTATAGATTTTTGGCATTTATTTTCATTTCTAAATATATTTCGTTAAAGTAACATTTCTCTCAGTTACTCTATTTTTTCCCTCAGATAGTGCACAGACAAAAGAAATTATTCCATTTAAATATAGGTTAGTGAGCCAGTGAGTTTATTGGCCTTGCTTAGGAGTGTGAACGAAGGATTATTTCCAGAAGCATGGAAGAAGGCAGCTGCATCCCGGAAAAAGTGTCCGCTCACCTAGGTGTATAGGAATATAGGCACTGGATGTTTTGCTTTTCTGGGCAGAGGGAGGGATCATAAAAGCATTAATGAATTGAGAAAATGCACTATTGTAGGGGGCTGAGGGAGATTATATCTACTTTTCCAAGTACGTGAGAGAAACTTTCTCCAGGGGTGAAACTCCTTAGGTAATGAAAGCACTTGCTAGCAAGCCTGACAAGAGAGAATGGATTCCAGCAAGGTATCCTTGACCTCCATGTCTGCTCACACACATACCTTCCCCCACTCAAATGCATACACAGTACAAAAATAAATGTGATTTTAAGAAGGGAAACTTTCTTTAGGATATTTACAGTCACCAAGGAAATGTGGTGACTGTTGTACTCACAAGCTTGGGAAATCAACGTTTATTAGCAAGGGTTATTATCTTTAACCCACGATAGGAGGGGTGGTCTCAGAGAGGAGGACCAGTTCACAGAACTTAGATACAGAGAGCTAATGCTCCATCTCGCTACTAGTGACGGAAGTGCCTGGTACACGAAGTCCAGGTCTTTCGGATCTCTCAAGTCTCTCTACACACAGCCCCTGTGAAACCAACATAAAGGAGAATTCGCTCCTGGGTCCACCACCCCACCCCTTCTCCCACGCCCACCTTGTTATCAGCTTTACAAAATTGAAGAACTGCATCTTCCGGTCCTGCAGTGGTCCCTGTCAGTTCAGCCCCTCACGCTTGTGGAACTCAATCTGGATTTATAGAATACAAATTTAAAAATTCCTTTTCCATACATTTTACTCTCAGGCTGAAAATTTGAAATTCATCAGAGAGGCAGGAGAGAGCATATCCTCTGGGCCAATGTTAGAAATAAGGTTGAGGTCTCAAAGACTGAGCCCACCACTCCAGCTATCGTGTCTGCACAAGATAAGTTTCCTCTAGATAAAGAGGGTGTGCTCAGAAGAGCCAGCACCTCAGACTCAGGCAGGACTTCTGGTTATCAGGTAGTGACTGTGTCTTTCCCCATTGGTGGAAATTTCCTCATTGCCTCAATTCAATTGACTACAATGAAATAATAAAAAAAAAAAATTGGTGGTGGGTGGGGGTCACTGCTCCAGGTCATCAAATTACTGGAAAGTGTTTTTTTGTTTTGTTTTGTTTCTTTCCTCCGAGACAACGTTTCTCTGTGTAACAGCCGTGGCTGTCCTGGAACTAGCTCTTGTAGACTAGGCTGGCCTTGAACTCCGAAGTGAGGGGATTAAAGGTCCCTCAGGGCAGCCGCCTCCACCTGACTCAAATTACTGGAAGGTTTTACTGGGGGAGAGGATTAAAACATTTGTAGAGAAATCTTACAAATTGGGGATAAAAATAATTAAATTACTTGTCCTAAACATGAGTTTCCTAGTACTTGATGGAAAAGATGCATATTTGATAATTTTACACTAAGTAGTTGGTAGAAACTTTCTCCGGGATGTGGGTAAAGGCTTTCAAAATTAACATTTGTTGGATATCTAGATAAGGAATTTACCCAGGGATTTTTTTTTTCTTTTTTCTGTTGTTCTCCCCTCTTCCCCACCTGTACAGTTACTCTGTACCTTTGAGGCCTGTCCTGAATCTAGCTCTTGTAAACCAGGCTGACCTCGAACCCACAGAAATCTGCCTGTCTCTGCCTCCCGAGTGTTGTGATTAAAAGCGTGTGCCACCACCGCCCGGCCGATTATTTTTATGTTTAGGTCCATTTTGCTTTGTGGGCAGTGGTCGAATGCTAACCTCCCGATTATTTTGAAGTTGGAGTGCCTTTCCTTGTGTGTCTCTGCCATTCCTTCGGTAGAAAGGGCTCAGAGCCGCAAAGCAGAGTGTGGATGGGGGTGGGGCGGAGGAGTCAGGCAACTAAAGATCTTGGATTGGAAATGAAGTAATGGGTTTGGGACCCAAAGGCCCGGGATGATTAGTGTCAGTTTTAGGGAGAGGCTTGGAGGATAGCACATATAAAATGGCAGGAAGAAGAGAGAGAAGACTGGGGAACGACTGGCAGGGTTCTAGCTAACCTTAGGAGACGGGATGGGAAGGGAAATACGCAGCAGCAGACCAAACACAGCGGCAGCCCGCAGTGCCCAGCGGGGCAGACAGGCCGCGGAGTGGGCGGGGCACAGGCCGCGGGGTGGGCGTGGCACAAGGGGGCGGGGCCGGGCGACAGTTACATAACTAACCTGTGCAAGCGCCGCGGAACGGTTCGGGCGGCGGGGGCGGGGCCGGGGTGGTGCCAGGCTGCAGCGGGCCGGGCAAGATGGCTGCCGTGGAGGCCGAGACGGCGCCGCTGACCCTGGAGTCGCTGCCCACCGACCCCCTTTTGCTCATCTTATCCTTCGTCGACTACAGGGACCTGATCAAGTAATGGGGCGGCGCTCATGGCATGGGTGGGAACGTGGAAGGAAGCGGCGAAGGAGGCAGGGAAGGAGGCCCAGGGTCGCTGGCTGGACGCGGGCTTCCTCCGCACCAGGGGGTGACTGCAGGGCAGCCGTTATCCTGCAGAGCCACGGCGGGGGCTGGGGGGGAGACGCGGAGGAGGGGGCTGGGCATCCAGGCTCCACTCCTGCCCAGGTTCCTGGGGACTTCGCGCCCTCTCCCTCAAACCTTGGCTAGGCCGGTTTGCCGAGGAGAGAAGTGGCTCCCTGGTGCGGCACGCCGCGGACCCTCGCTGGCCCTTGGGGATCTGGTCTGGCGCCGTGGAAAGGCCACTGTCCCGGCCCACGAGCATCCCTGGCGGGCCTGGGATCCAGGGTGACCAGAGCCCACGTGGGCAGGTAGAACGCGCGCGAGGAGGTCTGCGACCTTCTGACTCCCTCTGGTGCCACCGTGGTCACCGGCAGCATGCACTTTCTCTTGTGTTTGCGACTTTTTTTGGCTGTCAGTTTTCCTTTTTACGGTGGGTGGTTGGATTTTGTGTTTTGTCACCGACTTCCGGTGAGGCCTTACAGGTTGACTGCGGTTACCTCAGGGTTTCCCAGATTACCAACGTTTGCTCCAAAAAGAAACACCGGGCATGCTAGTGAGGGTGGCCAAAAACTCAATTCTTTCAGAGAACAGGACTGTTTACGTTGGAGGAAGAAACGGCGCAGCTGCGCCCCCCTTTTTACCCCACTTCATGTCACCCCACCCCCATGTTAGGATTGTTTACATCCTTTACAGCATGGCCAGGGTTTCTTGTGCTTTCGTGTGTTTGTAGAGGAGGTAAAAAGGCCGTCTCCTATGGGGAAGATACAGTTTTGTTTTTTGATTGATTACTGGATCCTGGCGCTTTGATGATTGTGACCTCGGGTTTGGGGGCCTTTTAGAGGTATGGACTTCCTGGAGTTACAGATTGGCCTACCTAAGTGGTGGCAGAGGTATGTCCTGAATTTTCAGTTATGGCCTCCACCGTACCTGCTCACACTTAGTTTGTCCAGAAAACACATTCTCCTCTACTCAGCCTGTACTAAAGCAGAGAAAGTTTTTCTGTAAGAAAGGCTGTCCTACTCAAATTGATTCATCTGAAATACTCTCCAGCTATAACTGATCTTGACAGCCTTCTGTCTTTGATTGCTGCCAGAGTTATCTTCCGAAGACAACCTGGCTGTCATTCTTAAAAGCCCGCAATAGCCCTGTTTGCAGACTGTGCCCTGAACCTCTGCAGCGTTTAAGGCCCTTATCATCCAGCTTCTTGTCTAAGGCCTCTCAGGCCTTCCCCCATTATCGTATTTGCACAGTCCACTCTAGCTAGAGCAGACATCAGGCGACACCCCACACACTCGCACATTGTTGTGTAAGCTCTGCTTCTTGTCCAGAGCACGCACTCTGCTCAGCTTGGCAACCTTACTCTCCCACCATCTTCCTTCAGCTACAGTTCGTCATAACTGTGTGCGCTTCTAGAGTGGAAGGGTTGTTTATTTTTGTATTCATTCGTTCAATCAATATTATGGAGTGCCTGTCATGTGTCAGTTAAATGTAGGCATACAATAGTGAATTGGAAATATGATCTTTTAAAGATGTAGTTTAAATACATTTCTGTCTTAGACAAGATGGAAACAGATAAGTGCAGAACAGTCGTTAGGAAGGAATCCATATGTGGTACTGTTGGGACGTGGAGGCTGAGGTGACTAACTCGGTGGGCGATCCGAAGTGTGGCAGAGTGCAGTTCTGTCCTCGTGCAAGGAGCAGTGTTGAGAGGCTCGGGGTCTGTAAACAATAGTGTGGCCTGTTCAACTAGAAAAACGAGAAAGCTGTGCTGAAGGTGGGAATGAGTAACAGGCAGGCTGCCTGAAGGGTGTCTGGTGAGATCATGTAGTTCTCGTAAGAGCAGATTTCAATTCAGAGCTGTAGGTAGTGATCAGAATTTTAAGCAGAAGAGGCATGACTCCTCCATAAATGTTTGTGGAAATGAGTGGCGTTGAACACTGTTTTTGTCTACAGACTCATCCAGCATACTGCAGCTTTTTTCTTGCCCAGTACAGCCCAACTTTGCCAAGTGTCCAACCTGTTGCCAGGCCCTAACGGTTTGGTACTTATGTGCTTGGCTGCTGTATTAAACTGTATTACTCTATCGGGAATTTAGTTTGAATATGAGACAGTATGCTACTTTCTCCTTACTGCTCACAGGGCAATTATATTAACTCATACATTAAATAGATTTTCAGAGATACTGCATTACAGCTATGTAGGTAGTAAGTGGAAATAGGAAAAATAAAGAGAATCAAACAAAATTTAACAATGACTATTTTAATCTTTGTTTTTAATTTTTCTTCCTTTTATACTAATTGAATCTGGTTCCTGCCAGTTGTTGCTATGTCAGTCGGAGACTTAGCCAACTTTCAACTCATGATCCATTGTGGAGAAGACATTGCAAAAAATACTGGCTGATAACTGAGTAAGTATTTTGTGACCATTTGATCTTTTGTGGGTGTAGGCTATTGTGTAGGTGTTTTGTTTTGTTTTAAGAATAAATTTTTCATTGTTGTCATTCTCTTGTCCGGGCTGGCCTTGACCTTGTTGCAGTCCTTATGCTTCGGCCTCTTTGCTGGCATTACAAGGGTGAGCTACCACGCTTGGCACTAGAGCAGTGGTTCTCAACCTTTCTAAAGCTGTGACCCTTTAATACAGTTCCTCATGTTGTGATGGCCTCCAATCATAAATTTTTTTTCATAGCTACTTCATAACTGTAACTTTGCTATTGTTATGAATCATAATGTAAATACCTGATATGCGGGATGGTTTTAGGCAACCCCTGTGAAGGGGTCATTCAACCCCCAAAGGGGTTATGGCCTACAGGTTGAGAATTACTGCACTAGAGTAATTTTTATTGATACTCAATAATTGCTCATGTTTATGGGATAAAGTGTAATTCAGTATACATTTACAGTATATAATAAGTCAGGCTAATTAGTATTTCCTGCTCTTTAAGTGTGTACCATTTTACTGTATTTGGAGTTTTCTACCGTCTTCTTTTTAGTTCTTTATAGTTATACAACATAGTAAGTTGTAGTAAACTGTAGCCATTGTCTACTAACACTTCCTTTCTAGTTAACTCTGTTTTCCAGTGATGCTCTGACCCCCCCCCCCTTTCTTTCTCCCCTTCCCAGACTCTAGTATAGAATACATAGTTTTGAATCCTGACCTTTGACTACCATACTACTACCATGCACTGGTTTTCCTTTCCAGCCCTAGTTCCTGCTAGTGGTCCAGTCAAAGTTACCACATTGCCAGAATAAAATGTAGATGACAGTGAGATTTAGGAGAAGTAGAAGGAAAGGCAGGAATACCTAACATATTTCTTCAGTTGTGGGAAGTCAGGACTGCTAAAGTTGGTAGAGAACTATAGGTTCTAAGTGTATGTATATATGTGTATATATAATTAATATAGTTAATATATATTTAGTATATAATATACTTCGGTTTTTCAAGGCAGGGTTTCTCTGTGTAGCCCTGGCTTTCCTGGAATTGGCTTTGTAGACCAATCTGGCCTTGAACTAAGTATATTATTGAAGCTGAAAGCATTAGTTCTACCAGGGGAAAAGTTAGTAACAGCTGTCAAGCATTGGGAGGAGGAAGAATGAGGAAGGAGGAATTCTAAGTGTCAGTATAGCCTCATTTTTCACTTTGGGGCATTTGTAAAATCTATAAATCACGGACCCGAGTTATAAGGATTTGGAAATATAGAAAGAGTTTCCATAAATAACTTCTAAAGGCATAGAACTAAAGACTATTTTTTGTTTTGCTTTGTTTGTTTTGAGACAGGGTTTCTCAAGACTTTAAAAAAAAAAAAATCCCAAGCTCAATTTTTACAGTGCTGGGTATTGTACCCAGGACCTCACTCAGGCTAGGCAAGCATTCTTCAGTTGCCTTACAACCCCCAGCCTTGTTGATAGCTGTACATATTTATGTTAATGATACATATTAACAAAAAGATGCTTTATGCCCTCCTTGCACCCCTTCCCCCAACCAAACTGAAACCACACAAAACGTACACCTGGAGTCAGGTGTGGTGGTATATACCTGGAGTGTAGCACTTATGAGACCGTCGTAGAGGATTCTGAGTTTGAGGCTAACCTGAACTACATGTACTGTTTCAAAAAACCAAAATGACCTCTGCTCTCTGATTTATTCTTTCCTTTATATCTAAACCTTTGATTCTACATTTCTAGTTTTCATTGTAGCACCCATCCGTGAACCCAGGCCAGAGTCAGGAGTCATCCTAAGTCTTTCTTTATCCCTGCGCTCACCTGAATCCCTAGCTTAGCACGTCCAGTCTCCACCCGCACTCATCCCACCTGGGTACCACAGCGTTCTTCAGTCTGTGGCCTCTCTCCAGCTTCAGAACCTCCCTAAGTCTTCTGGAATGATCTGGAATGGTCCTGGTTTTCTCCCTTAAGTCTACCGCAGCATCCTAAACCACAGCCTCAACTCTCCCCTTTCAACTTCCCCTTAAGCCCTCAATGGCTCTGCATCTTCTGTAGGAAAAGATCTAAGCCCATTTGACAGTACTTTCAAGTACCCTTTGTGGTTGCTTATCCTCTGTTAACATTTTATTCTTTGTTCATGATTAGACTATCCACTTTTTGAAGGAGAGAAAAGTGCATTTTTTAATGTTCTTAGTAGGCAAGTAGACAATAAATGTTTGTATAATTAAAGCAAGAAAAGATAATGAATTATGTATTTGTTTTAAGATTCTCTGGCTTGATCAATGTAGATGTGCTAGAGCAATATTATGCCATTGGGTTCTAAATATTCTCAAAAATGGGACAACTTGTGCTTTTTGTATTTATAATTGAGTCCAGGTTCCGTAGCACACACTTGTAACCTAGAGGCCGGGGACTCATAGTTCATGTCAGCCATGAGACTGTCTCAAAAAAGTTTGTTTTTTTAACTGATGTATTTTTAGGAGTAAGTTGAAATTTATACTGATATACTATTCACATATTTTGTTAAGAAATGGGAAACTTGGGGGAAAATTATGTAGAAAGTAGTGACTGATAAATAACCCTACCATGACAGAATAGCAGTAACTATTAAAGTTTTTGGTCTATCACTTCTCATTATCTAGTTCTCTTTGTAGCTAAAATAAATTAAGAAAATAAAAAGGCAGAGTTACTACAAACTTCCATTAAAGGTGTGTTGGTAAGTATCAAAAATTATGTGCTAAGCTAAGTTTATGGTACACATTTCTAATTCTAGTTCTAATTCTAGTACTTGGCATCTAGAGGCATGAAAATCAAGGCTATCTTTAGGTGCATAGCTAATTGAAGACCAACCTTTACTATATATGACCCTGTCTCAAAAAGCAGAGGAAAAGAAAAAAGATATGTTAAAAATCATTTTAAAAGCTTTCTTAATCTTGTGTGTGTTTTGTTTTGTTTTTTAAATCTATTTAGGGAAGAGAAATCCCGGAAGAATCAGTGCTGGAAATCTCTCTTCATAGCTACTTACTCAGATGTAGGAAGATACATTAACCATTATGCTGCTATTAAAAAGGCCTGGGATGACCTCAAGAAGTACTTGGAGCCCAGGTGTCCTCGGATGGTTTTATCTCTGAAAGGTACTAGGAATACAGGGTCCCCCATTCATATTTAGATTTACATTAACAACAGACTAGTTGAAATAACTTTGATCTGTTGTGTACCTGGGCTAATCCAACCTCTTAATTAATTCACCATACACACATTTTGTTAATAGACAAGGAAGCATAGTGCTGATGTTGTTACAAGAATCTTGCCCTTTTTTGGTTAACCTGGAAACCCATATGGATATTAAATAAAAGCTGAGCTACTTTATCTTTTTAGCTGTTTTATATAAAGAAACAATGCTAAAATTGCTTGAGAATAACCATTATGGGTTTATTTTTATTTTTGCAATATTGGTGATTGAGGCCAGGACCTCATGCATTTTAGGCAAGTATTCTACCATGGAACTGTAACCCAGCCCTAAAGATGATTATTGTTATTATTGTTTTGTGTATATGTATGTTCACATGTGTTCCCGCATCCCTATTTGGAGGCTAGAAGACATCACATGTCTCTCTGGATCGCTCTCCACTTTATTTACTGAGCTCAATGACTGAGCTAGTCTAGGTAGCCTGCTTACGCCAAGTATTCTTGTCTCTACCTCCCAAATGCTGCCTCACCTGCTCAGCTTTTATGTAATTTCTGGGAATCCAAACTCCAGTTTTCATGCTTATGTGACAAGACATGTTTATTCATGGGATCATTTCTCCAACCCAAGATTAGTTTTTAATTGAAAACTTTTGTCAATACCTTTTCTTGTTTGATGTCTATCAAATGTTAGGAAAGAACCTGGGTCTTTAAGCATGTTAGAGTAACACAAGAATCTAGAAATTTTTCTTTTGGCAGAGTTTTACAAAATAGTCAAACCGGGGGCTGGAGAAATGGCTCAGCGGTTAAGAGCACTGACTGCTCTTCCTGAGGACCCGGGTTCAATTCCCAGCACCCACATGGCAGCTCACAACTGTCTGAAGATCCAGTTCCAGGGGATCTGACACCTTCACACCAATGCACATAAAATAAAGTTAAATAAACCATAAAAAATTTAAAAAAAAAGAAAAAAAAACAAAAAACAAAATAGTCAAACCAAGATTTGAACTGAAGTCTATTTCACCCCAGAATCTGTGTTCTTTCTATTCTATTGCCTAATTATGACTAGAAATAGTAACAAGCTATTTCTGTTGGATTTGTTAGCTAATCCCTGTAAAATACATTTGTAACTGCTTATCTGTGTAACATGAATAATAAAAACAGAAACAGATAATTGAGGTTCAATCTGAAGATCAGAAAAGCAAAGCAGCCGACCACTAGAGAGACCTTTTACCTCTACCAAATCTTCAGACCAAAAGGGTGATCCTTCAGTACTCTCCACCAACCTCAGACTCCACAACTACTGAGTTCCTGTCTCTTCTCTCTTTATATTCCCCTCTCTGCCCAGCCGTATCGCTCCTGTCTCCACCTGCTAGTGCTGGCCTTAGAAAGGCATGTGATCCCAAGTGCAGGGATCAACTTTGTGTGAGCTCAGTTTCTCTTTTAGACAGACTCAATCTTGTGTAGCCTAGAATGGCCTTGAACTCACAGAGATCCATTTGCCTCTGTCTCCCTAGTCCTGGGATTAAATGTGTGTGCCACCATTGTTAGACTTTTGTGGCTGAGTAGTGGCTTAGCTCTGCACTCTGATCTTCAGGCAAGCTTTATTAAAACAAAAAATATATACCACTATAATCTGCTTTCCACTTTATGTTTTTTCAGACTTATTCGCTAAGTGGAACCATGAGTTTGCTGTGGTTTTGCTAAGCTAAAACTGGAATCTGTTCTTTTTTACTCTTTCTCATTAGAACGAGTCTTTTTGAATTATCATTCCTTTATTCTTTCAGATTTCCATTGTTACTTTCAGACAAACCATGATTTCATGAAAAGATGTTTAAATCTGAGTTAGAAGGCAGAATAGATGGTTTTAGTAGAAGGAGTAGGGTGGAACACTGGAGTCCCCCGTTAATAATCTTAACAGCTTATTCTCTAAGAAGAAATGAGTGGTAACATTCACCTGGCATGAGCATAAACTACTTCAAGAGGACATAATCTGAAAATAAGAATGCAGTGGTGATATGCAAAATAGGTGATAGTTTATAATATCACAAAGGTAGACATGAAACTAAATGTTTTGTTGTTTGTTTTCTGAGACAGGTTATTTTGTGTGGCCCTGACTGTCCTGGGACTCATTCTGCCTGTCTCAGCGGGGTACTGGGATCAGAGGTGTGAGCCACCACTGCCTGGTCTCACTTTGGAAGTGTAATCTTTAATTGTGGTTGAAGGGAGAGAATTTAGCCCATTTTGTTTAGCATATCCAAGGTCTCCTTAGAGGGTGACTCTATATTAGGGCACTTAGACTGTGAGACAGTAGTGTGATTGTTCTTTTGGACAGACTTACAGCTTTTCTTCTTTTGTCCTTTGTTATTCCTAGGCTCCTTGTGTCTGTTCTGTATTTAGCTGTCAGATTCCTTGGCCACTTCTGCATTACCACAAGGTGCCAGTTCTCAGGGTGTGTCATGAGTTTGGAATAAGGTTAAAGTCTAGAATATCTATAGTGCTGGAAATGCTAGGAATTTCAGACTTAGGAGTTTCACAACTAAGAACCTAGCTGCTGACCTCAGGTGTCGCAGCTCTCGTTCAATTTTAAGGTTATAAAGGTGTCAGGAAAAAGGAAAATTAGCCGATAACTAGGCATTGGACACGAGGTAATCTTATAGAGTATCTTGAGATTATATTATATTGATGTTCTTAATTGTGTATTTTCAAACCATATTTTCCTTGTGTGTTGGCTTAGAATTGAGTTGGGAGTTTAATCCTTTAAAGGAACAAACAGTAAATATTTTAGAGTTTGTGGGACCCATGGTCTCATAGAGACCTGTATGTTTACCCCTGCTGTTAGTCTATTGTTTCTGGAAAACAGCCATAGATAATACAGAAACAAAAATGGAGTGGCTGGATTCCAATAAAAAGAATTTAGCCTCTTAACTATAATTTACCAGACCCTGGTTAATTACAAGTACCTTCATTTCACATTGGAGAAAGGATATGAAGAGAGTTTGGGTGGTGTGTGTGTTTGATGTCCAATCTTGATTGTCTGGAATTGTAATCATGTATTTCCTTATCTTATTTTGTTAACTATGGTGTTTTTTTGTTTGTTTGGCTTTTTAGTTTTTGAGACAGGATTTCTCTGTGTATCAGCCCTGGCTTTCCTGGAACTCATTTTGTAGAACAGGCTGTCCTGAACTCACAGATTCACCTACCTCTGCCTTCCAAGCACTAGGCTTAAAGGCATGTACCACCTGGCTTCAAATTTAATGGTTTTTGTTTGCTTTTTGAGACTGCTGTCCTGGAATTAGCTTGATAGACCAGGCTGGCCTCAAATTCATTCTCTGCCTCCTGAGTGCTGGGATTAAAGACGTGGGCCGAAACTGCCCATTTTTTGCTTATTTTTTTTTAAAGATGAAAAAATACTGTATGTGTGTGGGCATTTTATCTGTGTACATCTATGCACCATATGCTGTGCCTGGTATTTTTGGAGGCCAGAAGAGGACATCAGATGCCACCATGTGGGTTCTGGAACTTGAACCTAGGTCCTGTGTAAGGTAAGCCAGTGCTATTAAACACTGAGCCATCTCTCCAGCATCTGTCTTTTTGTTTTTATTAGTTACTGGGAGGTTTGCTAAAATTTCCTATTGTGGTAGGCACTGTTCTGAAGTAGCCCAAGATTTTCAGCTTATGGTATACATGCATGGTACAGTTATTTCTCCTTATATACATATAAGTCAGGTATATAAGAAGTTATTTTGATTCCCATTTTTGAATATATTCCAATTATTTACAGTAACTTCTCTATTTTTTAAGAAAGGTCGGGGGCTGGAGAGATGACTCAGAGGTTAAGAACACTGGCTGTTCTTCCAGAGGTCCTGAGTTCAATTCCCAACAACCACATGATGGCTCATAATCATCTGTAATGAGGTTCTGGTGCCCTCTTCTGGCATAGAGGAGTACATGCAGGAGGGAGGAGTACATGCAGGAGGAACATTGTATACATAATAAATAAATCTTTAAAAAAAAAAAAGAAAAAATATTCTTTAAAAAAAAAAGAAAGGTGAAGAGATTTTTGCAGGTATAGTTAAGGTCCCAAATGAATTGCATTGGATGTTAATTAAAATGAAAATGATCTTGAATGGGCCTACATTAAAACGCATCTGGGCCTTTCAGAAGGCAGATTCATAATGTTTTTCCTGTTTACTTTGAGTAAGCAGACTGGTATGTTGAGGAGAAAGCTACCTAATAGGAAATGTCAGGGGGCTCTGAGAGGTTCTTTGAAAAAACTACAGGTTGCTGAATTCTGCAAATAAGTGAGCTTAGAGAATCTGAAGCAAAAGATGAGTAAGATGAGCTAGCACCTCAGTTAACACCAGGATTTCAACACTGTGATTTAAATAGAGGTCGGGTTTACTTGAATTTTTGATCTGTAGAAACAGATAATGAGTTCTTGGCATGGTGTCCTGGGGGGGGGGGGGGGGGGGATAAGCTCAATGTACTTATCCTCTCAGCTAAGCCGGCAGAGGAGGGCCGGGTGTGTGCCTGAGTGGGAGGGGGGCTTAGGCAAGGAGCCTCGCCCTGCCGGACTGTCGCCTCACCTTTATTTGCAAAATAAGCAAACAAGTGAGCATTGTTTAAGCTGCTAATACCCATTGTAGCATTGGAGAATTAATTCACTGCTTGTAAACCTTTTTTGCCATTTTAACTCTGACATTAGAATATATTTAGGGCTGTAGGTGGTACTTCCCTGCTTAGCCTGCTGTCCCCTTGCAGTGTACTCCAGGGTTTAAGAGGGGGAAAATGTGTGTATTCATATATGTATGTGTGTTTGTGCACAAGTGCATGCTGTCTTACTTAGGTATATAAAGATGATTCCTACATAGTGAATTTAACCTGTTACTACTATGAAAGTTCTCCATTAGTTTTAATACAGCTGTTTGATTTAAAGCCAATCTCATGTGTTCTGAGTACAGCCATCCTAGCTTTCTTTTTCCATGTCTGTAGTAAGATGAGTCTCTTGAGTAGAATTTTTTTTTTTATTACTTCAGTGCTGAAATTGAAACTGAGTCATAACACATCTCGCTCCCCGCAGACAAGGTTTATTTGTGTAGCCCCAACTGTCCTGAACTCTCTGGAGACCAGGCTGACCTTGAACTCAGAGAGATTCACCTGCCACTGCCTCCAGAGTGCTGAGATCAAAGGTGTGCGCCACCACCGCCTGGCAAGGCCTGACACCTTCTAAGCTTGTGCTCTCTACCTCTGCACTGCATTCTTGAGCCCCTGTTCTTTACCTGGTCTGTCCTTTCATCAGATTATTTGGCTTAGAGATATTTATTTATGTCATTTACATAATGTTCACTCTTTTTTGCATTCTTAATTATGTTTAATTTCTTTGCTTTTTCTTTTTTCCTTTTTAGTGATCACAATATAGATTAAAATACGCATTTTTGATTTATTGAAGGCTAATAGAATTTAATATTTACCACTTCCTGGGCATTGAAAGAGTTTTAGTTCTGATCATTTCCCTCCCCTTTTTATGGGAGGGTATTTGGGCTCCAGTTCAGGTCCCTATATATGTTAGTCCATACTGAGCCCCTTAGTGTTGATTTGTGATTTTAATTTTTAGACTATTTCTTATGTCTCAGCACTGCCTGCTCTTTAGTCAGTTCCTGTTTTTATTGAAGCTTAGTTCTTTTGAGTGACTGCACAGCACTATTGGATCTTGGGGTAATAATTTTTCTTCTAGAGATTTCCTTCTGCTTTTTCTGCAGACCATCAGGGGGTTGATCACATTAACCTGGTCTAAGGTTGATAAAGTTGGGAAAATGCGCTTTTTGTCCATGAGGACTGGTTTGTTTCCAGTTCACTTTTTCTTAGGAGTTGGCTTTCTGTAACCTAGCAAAAGCATGTTTATTTATTTGAACAGGGCCTTTTCTACTTTGTGGACTCTGATGCCCCCCCCCCCCCTTTTTTTTTTGGTTTTTCGAGACAGGGTTTCTCTGTGGTTTTGGAGCCTGTCCTGGAACTAGCTCTTGTAGACCAGGCTGGTCTCGAACTCAGAGATCCGCCTGCCTCTGCCTCCCAAGTGCTGGGATTAAAGGCGTGCGCCACCATCGCCCGGCTCCCCCTTTCTTTTTTAATCTATTAGTCCTATAGTATTGCCTAAAGCTGGGCTCATTTCTTTGGCCACTTGTTTTAGAATTGATAATTGCTTAAAATCAAGGTGATTTTAGATGCCTAATTGACCTCTTGTGTTTTTATTTGATTATTTTCTGTTTTTCCTTTTTTGGAATTCACCTTGAACTCTCCAGGAGATACAAGCATGTGCACCACCTCTGGCTACTTTGTGGGGGTATTTTGTTGGTGGTTCCCCTTTCCATTTTACTTTGTGCTAGTGTTTTCCCTGTTAAGAGGAAACTGAGGACTTTATTCAGTATTTAAAATTAATTTTCAATTCATTGCCCTATATTTTGTTAGTATATGTTGAACAGAATTCACTTGCTATAAGATTGTTTCCTGATTTGGTAACTGATCTACTAGATTGACGTCTCATTGTGCACACACAGTTCTGATTCTGGTGTGCTTTTGCAGAAGGTGCACGTGAGGAAGACCTGGATGCTGTGGAAGCTCAGATTGGGTGCAAGCTCCCTGATGATTATCGCTGTTCATACCGGATTCACAATGGGCAGAAGTTAGTGGTTCCAGGGTAAGATGTTTGATGTTTGAGTAATTCTCAGACATTGACATTACACATCTTGTTCACAGTTTTCTTTAGTTATCTTATATATAAGAAAATGTATGTTTATATATTATGAATGTATGTATTGTTGAGAGGGGGAGTTCCCTTTTCTTTATAGCAATATATAAGATAATATAGGTTAAATTAAATTTTACCAGAATAAATGTGTCTCATAGAAGCATTATGCCTGACAACACATATTTATGATTAAAGTGAGATCTGGTTGGGGATGGGAGCTGTGGGACACAGGAGAGAGATATATGTGCGTGTATTTGTGAGTATAGTTAACTAACCTGCTAAGGACACTTGATGTGTTTATTACCCTGTTACAAGTTAGGCAAAATGTTTTAGGAACTTGATGCAAGTTCTCTCTACTGTAGTTGAGTATGTCCTGGCATTCTCCAAGGGCATCCTTCTGTTAACACAGAGTACTTTTCAGAAATGAAATAGCAGGGATAGGGCATAAACAGGCCAGTTAAGGGGGCTGGAGAGATGGCTTAGTGGTTAAGGGTGAATATTGCTCTTGCACAGGTCCCCAGTTCATAGCACCCACATTGGGCAACTCACAATGGCCAGTAACTCCAACTCCAGGGACTCCCAATGACTCTGGCACCTACACTCATTCTCTCTCTCTCTCTCTCTCTCTCTCTCTTTCTCTCTCTCTCTCTCTCTTGGTTTTTCAAGACAGGGTTTCTCAGAAGCTATGGAGCCAGTCCTAGAACTCTCTATAGACCAGGCTGGCCTCGAACTCACAGAGATCCCCCTGCCTCTGCCTCCTGAGTGCTGGGATTAAAGGTGTGTGCCACCACTGCCCAGCCTGAGAGTATTTTCTAGTGCACACTGTCCAAAAATTCCCTATCTAGCCCTAGTTTCATTCTTTGAGTCATCTTTCTGCCTTAGTCTTAGTGTGGGTTACAGCATGAACCACGACACTAAGTTCCTTAAAAGCAGTAAAGTTATAATTCTTCTAAAATGACTGACGTTTAAGTACTTTAGACATTTAATTTTTAAATCTAAATAAGAATATTCTGATTTAAAGAATGAATTTGAGCCAGGCAGTGGTGGTGCACGCCTTTAATCCCAGCACTCAGGAAGCAGAGGCAGGCGGATCTCTGAGGCCAGCCTGGTCTGCAGTGTTGTTTTTTTACTCTTGGGGGCCTGCCACCCAGATCCCAATTAAATACAAAGGCTTATTCTTTTTTATAAATGTCTGGCCTTAGCTTGACTGATTTCGAGCCAGCTTTTCTAAATGTAAATTATCCCGTCTATCTTTTGCCTCTGGGTTTTTATCTACATCTGTATACCTTTCTTTACTTCTTTCCCCATAGCTGTGTATCTGGGTGACTGGCCCCTGGTATCTTCCTCGCTCCTTAATCCTTTCTTCCCAGATTTCACCTCCTATTTATTTTTTCTGCCTGCCAACCCTGCCTATCCTTTCTCCTGTCTCTATTGGCCATTCAGCTCTTTATTAGACCAATCAGGTGTTTTAGACAAAGTAACACAGCATCACAGAGTTAAACAAATGCGACAAAAGAATGCAACACATCTTTGCATCATTAAACATTCCACAGCATAAACAAATGTAACACATCTTAAAATAATATTCTACAATATACAGTGTGAGTTCTAGGATGGCCAGGACTACACACAGAGAAACCTTGTCAAATAATCCAAGCTCACTCTGAACAGAGAGAGTGTGGTACCAGGCTGGCCAAGGATGTATAGGAAGAACCAAACGAAAACAAAACTTTTCAACGTGAAATTATTCACCGAGAAGATGAACCCCAAACCCCACGGCCCTGTGTGTTTCTGTTGCTCTGCTGTTGACAACTTTGTGTCTGTGTTCTCCTCAGGTTGCTCGGAAGTATGGCACTGTCAAATCACTACCGCTCTGAAGATTTACTAGATGTTGATACTGCTGCTGGAGGATTTCAGCAGAGACAAGGACTGAAATACTGCCTCCCTTTAACCTTTTGCATACATACGGGCTTGAGTCAGTACATAGCCGTGGAAGCTGCAGAGGGCCGAAATAAAAATGAAGTGTTCTACCAATGTCCAGTAAGTGGGAAGTGTGCTTGACTATGGCTTTAATGTGTTCTGACAATAAATGTATGTATTAGCTACATTCAGGGACATAAAATAAGCTGGAGGATTATACATTTTATTATATTTGATATTTATTTATTTGTTTGTTTATTTATTTATTATTATATCATCACATGGTGATGTGGATAACCAAAAGGAAGATTTGCCATTGGATAAATAGTACAGACTGTGACGTGTTTAGATGGAAAGTTGTGATTCACATTAAGGAACTTATTATCAGAGTCCTTGATTGTAATATGTAAAATTATCTTTTGAGCATCCTAGAATTGTTCAGATCTCTTGACTCTGAATTGAAAGCCCTTTCTTCTAGGATAACAAGCAATCTGTTTTATCACTTCTACCTACTAATTATATTCTTGAAGGATAGTTTCCTAACTTGTCTTAATAGTAATAGCACTCTATGTTTTCATTTGAGGGTGCCTCCAAACATTTTATAGAGTAAGTCCAAGCTAGAAATTATAATAGTAGGAACTGACAGGTGTTGCTAAAATTCCTTCTCAAGGAGAGACATAAGTACTTTCTACCCCTCCTCCTAAGGTCCCAATGACAAACTGAGGCATGAGCCCACCAAAGTTCACTCTGGGGAACCAGTGAGTATATTTCATAGTGAGGGACTACTTAGAGGCATTGTGGGTACCCCTCCATGAACTGGCTGCACCTCAAAAGCTTTACCCAGCAGGTATGGGGACTTCCCCATAGCTGTACGATGGACTCTCAGCCCTAGTCTTCTATACCAGGTAGTAGGGAACAGCTGGCGACTCGGGTAAGAACCTTGTGCTCTCCTGGGCTCTTCTGTGGAGATGGGGTATAAACAACCAAAACAGCTGGGATGATCTTTTGCTTGTGTGTGGTGGGAGTATAGCTGACCTCTCAAATGGTGATTGCTTGGCCTGGAAGACAGTTAACTCACAACAACTAGGATTATCTGAGTATTGATTAGAACAATGAATTCCTTTTTATCTATTTTGCTTTGTTCCCAGAGGTCTAGGTAAGGAATAAAAATAAATGTATTTGTATCAGTTTTCGTTTTACCCCCCATGTAGGACCAAGTGGCTCGGAATCCTGCTGCTATTGACATGTTTATCATAGGTAAGAGAAACAGAAAAGTCTCTTTTCCCTTTTTCCTATTGGTTAAAAAAGCAAATGAATTAGTAAAACTGAGTTACTTGAGCAGCTAGCAACTTTATACTTGCACCTCTTAGTACTTCCTGGATTTTAAAGTTCTATGTCTGTGTTTTCTTGTTGGGGCAGCCCTTGTGTTTTCTTTGCATTTTGTTTACAAAAAAAAAAAAAAAAAGGCGGGGCTTGAGGTTGAGAGCACTGGCTGTTCTTCTAGAGGTCCTGAGTTCGGTTCCCAGCAACCACATGGTGGCTCACAACCATCTATGGTGAGATCTGGTGCCCTCTTCTGGCCTGCAGGCACACATGCAGACAGAATACTGTGTACATAATAAATAAATAAAATCTAAAAAAAATAAGAGAGAGGCTTCCTGAATCAGCATTACCTGCAAATCCTTGCAGCTCTTAAATTTTTTTTTAAAAAAAGGCATATCCTATACAGTCTTAAGTTGTAAATTTTCTTTAGATAAGTGATATAGGTTCAATATTACCTTACTGTTGCTGGGATAGGATTCCCTGACAGAGAGCAACTTGGGGAGGAAAGGGTTTGTTTCAGCTTACAGGTCACAGTCTGTCACTGATGGAAGCTAGGGCTGGGGCAGGATCTCATGGCAGGAACTGAAGCAGAGGCCATGGAGGAGTGCTGCTCGCCATGTGGCTCACTCACAGCCCTGTGTTTAGCCAGTTTTCTAATGTAGCCACAGCCATCTGCCTGGGAAATGGAGCTGTGCACATGGGCCAGGCCCTCTTACATCAGTAATCCAGAGACTCCCTCACAGGCCAGTCTCATCTGGGCAATCCCTCAGTGGTGACCCTAGGCCAGTGGTTCTCAACCTTCCTAATTCTGCGACCATTAATACAGTTCCTTATGTTGTGATCCCCAGCCATAGAATTATTTCATTGCTACTTCATAACTAATTTTGCTACTGTCGTGAATCATAATGTAAATATCTGATGTGCAGGACATCGGATATGTGACCTCTGTGAAACGTCCTTTGAACTCAAAGGGGCCACGACCCACAGGTTGAGAACTGCTGCTCTAGGCTGTGTCAGGTTGATAGTTTCAGCTAACTAGGATTAATTCCTATATAACATATCCATGGGCTTTCCACAGAGCGTATTAGTATATAATTGGAGGTAAAATTATTTAAAGTGATTATATTTTTTTCTTATTTGATGCTAATTAACAAATCACGGTAGAGACCTAAGAAGCATTCTTCTTCAAGATGAATATAAATTACAGCTTCACAAACTCTTCGGCACTTGTTTGCCTTGGCTGGGAAGATATTTCTTAATAATTTTGGGGATGTCTTTATGTGGAGGTGTAGCTCCCCTTTTGCTCTTCATGCCGTCTGTCCTGCTGAGACTCTGCTCACAGCAGAAGCTTCCTACCTACTGACTCTTCCTTTTCAGGGGGTTTCTGACATGGACATCTTTCTGTGTATTCGTAGTACAGAAGATGCTAAGGGCTAGCTCAGTGGTAGACTGTGTGCCTGGTCTGTGCAAGGCCCAATTTTACTCCCCAGCTCTAAGAAAATAAACGTTGGCATTTAATTTCTCTTCTAATTGAAACCTAAAACAGAAAGCAAGTGTCTTTTTTTTTTTTTTTTTTTTACCATACTGTGACATGGTACGGGTTTGTGATATGTTTCACATTATCTAAAGTGGTCTCACCCTTATCCAAGTTATGCAAGTTTTTAAATTTAGGCCTTAGCTTTCAACTTATTCTGAAACAAATGGCCTCCTGTTTCTAAGCTAAGCATCATCAGGATGCTTGTGTTCATTATCCTCATTGACATCTTGGTATAGTATATTTTCAGAGATGACCATCACAGCCCTAGGCCAGCAGTGATTAATCACTGATTAATCAGTGATTAATCAGTTGTGAGTTAAAGGCCTCCTGGCCAATAAGGAGAGTTACTGTTAGGTTCTGAGTTTCTTTTATTCTCATATTTGTCTGCTTTAAAACAGAATACACAACCATTGCAACAAATATGAAGTCTGGTAATTAAAAAACATAATTAGTGATATAAATTGAGCATCTGCTACTCAATAAAGAACTGGGTTAATTGAAACCAGATTACAAAAAAATTCAGGGAACAACATACTATAGATTGCTAGGCATTTAGCTGTCCTAACCCCCCCAAAAAATGATAAAGTTTGATCATGTTGTATTACCTAGTATGTTTATACTTAATTCGTATAAATACTTGCTATGAATTCTTTTATTATAACATGGACCAATAATATGGATGTGTTAATGTAATGTAAATGTTTTCCGCTTTGAGTTAGTCTCCGAGAATATGGAGGGCCACTGTGCAACTGCATCTGTAGTAGTGAGCATCTTGACCACTTTGGTATTGACCTGATGCTGAGAATTCTACAAAGTCATGTCTCTGACTGAGCCTAGCTTGTGCCAGTATTTTGAGTGTATATCAGAATATGTATAAGATGAACCCTGATCATTGAGAGGAGGTGCCTGATAACCTTTTCTTAATGCTTTTTCCTAGATGTAATTTCCTTTGCTTTAAAAATTAGTAGACAAATAGTTTTTATCATTGTACCAAAAACAATTATTTTGAGTGTGTGTGTGTGTGTGTGTTTATGTGTGTGTGTGTATAAATAGGTGGAAATAGCTGTAGAATTTCCTAACAATTATGCAGAGGCTAGGGATAGTGATGATAGGGACACAAAGGACATACTGTAGATAGAGTTGAGAACAGAAGGGCTGGAGAGATAGATCATTTGTTTAAGAGTAGTTGGTGTGCAAGTATAAGAATCGATGAGTTCAAGTCCCAGTACCCATGTAAAAGCTGGGTGTGCCCATGCCTGTAATCCTAGCAGTTTATGGGGCAGAGACAGGAGGATTGCTGGACCTTGCTGGCTGGATACCAGTTTAGCTCTAGGTTCAAATGAAAGGCTCTGTCTCAAAGGAATAAGGTGGAGAGTGGTGGAGCAGGGATGTGATGTGTATGTACAGGCACATACGGATGCACTTACTTGGCATGCACCACACTCACAATAAATAAGAATTGGGAAGACAAATTGGACTAATAGAGTACTAGTAGTATAATATCTATAAACATTTCTAGTTCTGATATTATACCTTAAATATAGTGAAATTATAGTTGGTTGTTTCTTCTAGAGTTTTCCCATTTGCTCATTCTCCCCTTTTTGGTTTATAGGTGCTACTTTTACTGACTGGTTTACATCCTATGTCAACAATGTTGTATCAGGTGGTTATCCCATCATCAGAGACCAGATTTTCAGGTATTTTAATTGGGCTTTTGGGATTGAGATGACTATAAATCAGAAAAGGCTAACTACTGCAGATCTATCAGGAGTTGAGGTTTCTCTGAAAGGAAAGATCAAGAGGAAAAACTAAATGTGATTTAGTAACATGACAGTAGCTACATGATTTCTCTTTGCAAAATAAGAAAGTTAGCCAGTTAATAGGTTTATTATGAACAGCAAGTAAACAACTTACTCTTGGCAAACATTTATTTTCTCTAACTGGAACATTCAGATGTTAGCAGTTAGTGTTAGAGGTGGTAGCAGGTGATACAAGTTCATAGTAGCCTTGGCAGAAGCAGTAGTTTAAGTGTATGCCATGGGCTTCTCCATTAGAGGCAGGAATTACTAATTATGTATAGGAGGCTAAAGATCCTTACATTCTTAGGGATTTTCGTCTCCCATTTAATAAGTATGGTCAGGTTAAGAAGACTCCCAAAACTTTTATAGCATTGAAAACCAAGAGAAGCCCTTGTTAGTTTCTAAGCTGGTCACTGATCCATGGTTTGAGTCACTGACCACAGATCTTTGATTACCATCTGTACTGAACCAAAGTTTCCAAGGTTTTACAGTATTATGAAATTCAAGTTCTACAGGATTGTATCAATATGACTTAAATTTGTAAAGTATAAGGAAAGTATTGTGCTTTATCTTTAAACTGCTTAAGAATTGAAGCTAGTTGATTTAAAAATGTTTAATTTCCTTCCTTGCTAGATATATTCATGACCCAGAATGTGTAGCAACAACTGGAGATATTACAGTTTCAGTGTCCACATCATTCCTGCCAGAACTCAGCTCTGTACACCCACCACACTATTTCTTCACATACCGAATCAGGTGAGAATTTTAAATGACTGTTGTAGTTGTCAGTTTGTTTCTATGACAAAACATCCCAAAGTCGACCTATTTATTTTGGTTTATTTTGGCTCAGGATTTCAGTTCATGGCCACTTGGTTCTGTCATTTCTGGGTCAGAGTGTGATGAGGCAGAGTATCACAGAAGTGTTGAACAGTGCCACTTCAGAATAGCCAGGAAACAGAAAACAAACAAACAAACAAGAGCAAACAAATCTTCAACACGGGAGCCCTTGGAACCATTTTATATCTGAACCATAAGACTCGCCTTTCAGTTAAAGTGCAGATATCTTTTGGCAGTTTTGTATTTGCCCATTTGGATATGGTCTATAAAATGAGTTTTTGTTTTTTTTCTTTGGGGGTGGGGGTGGTGTGGTGGTGGTAGTGTTCTGTTTCATGGTCCTATGGATTAAACCAAGAGCCCTGTACATGATTGGCAACTACTCTGTCACTGAGCTGCAATTCCCAGCCATAAAGTACATTTAAGAGGTTTTATTTATTCTTAAAATTGTATTTATTTTTTTAGTGTATGTGTGTTTATTTGCATATGTGTGGGTTCATGTGTATGCAGAAGCCTACGGTTGATATCAGGAGTTTCCTCTGTCATGATTGACCTTAGTTTTGAAGCAGGTCTTGCCGTTAGCCTAGAACTTGTCGATATAACTAGACTAGTTATCTTGTTTGGGGATCCTGTCTGCCTCCTGTGCATTGGGATTATAGGCGGGCAACCACACCTACCCAGTATTTAAGTAGGTTCTAGGACTCCAAACACCAGTCCTTATGTTTGTGCCCATCGAGCCATCTCCCTAGTTCTAAAGTACACTTAAATTTTTAACTTATTGTGTATGCATGTGTGGATAGTTTCTAGAGGTCAGCTTGTGGGAAGTGGTTTTTTGCTATTCTGTGATCCTGGGGATGCTACTTAGGTCTTTAGGTTTGGCAGGAAATACCTTTATCTACGGAACCATTTTGCCGTCCTGCTAAAGCACATTTTGAAAATTAGTTTCCTGCTGAAGTTTGCAGAAAATTTAGTCAATTTTCAACAATATAGTGTTCACAAAGGAGTTTGATAAGTTACAGTTTTTTGTATGTGTCCTGAATATAAATTACTGTTACAATTGCTGCGGGAACTGAACTACTAAGTTGTAATTTTCAAAACTCTATTTTAGATTTATAATGTAATCTAGAAGTTTTCACATTGCCAAACAGAAAACCATGCATATAAAGTTTCATGTGGCCTGTCTTCTATATTCAATTTTAAAGAGCAATAAATATTTATGGAGTATTTCATGTGTGTCATACATAATATTGAATGCTTGATTTGATTAAATACCAAAAAACAAATGCTTTAAATTCCCTGTACTCAGAAATATTTTGTGCTTAAGCAGAAAGATAACCCATTGCTACAAGTGTAGTTTAGATGTTTGTTTTTATTTAGATCCTGCTTAGAATTAAGACTTGCTTAAAATAGGGCTGGAGAGATGGCGCAGTGGTTAAGAGCATTGCCTGCTCTTCCAAAGGTCCTGAGTTCATTTCCCAGCAACCACATGGTGGCTCACAACCATCTGTAATGGGGTCTGGTGCCCTCTTCTGGCCTTTGGCATACACACAGATAGACTATTGTATACATAATGAATAATAAATAAAATATTAAAAAAAAAAAGACTTGCTTAAAATAGAAACACCTTCCTGCACTGCATTTGGTACTGCAGGGTATTCAATATGAAAATTAGAGGCACAGATTCCTAGAGAAAGAGGAAATGATAGTATCTAGAAGTAGAAGTTGAAGTAGAATCCCAGTAACTGGAGCCATTGTACTTTGAGCTTTTTAGAAGCTAATGGAAAAAAAAAAAAAAAGAATTGTGTTGCATAGATTTGTATGAGTGAATGTCTGAGTTCTTCAGAAGTTTGTCATGACACTGTGTCTAGAAAGTGTCTGCCCAATGGATATTTATTTGAGCAGCCAAAGATGATTGCTACCACAGTGTTTGCATGTATTTTTGTGGCCCCTTCTATTGTTGGTTGTTACTGAAAAATACTTAAATAAATTAAGTGAAAGCATTTCCATGGGGAGAATTAGCATAGTTAAAGCAATGTCTTTGAGAACTTATGGCTAACTAACATGGACTTTGGGTTAGATTTGTTAATTTCCCTTGAAGGTCTTCTATAGTATTAACTCAAATGCTATAGTATTCTTTAAAAAGAAAGGTAAAACAAATGCTCTGCTCTTTTCTCCAGGATTGAAATGTCAAGGGAGGCACTTCCAGAAAAGGCCTGTCAGCTGGACAGTCGCTACTGGAGGATAACAAATGCTAAAGGGGATGTGGAAGAAGTTCAAGGACCTGGAGTAGTTGGTAAGTCACCCAAGTTTGCATTTCTCTGTCATTTGCTTCAAAGAAAGTTTAGACTGTGTACCCATAAATATAGTCTGTGGTGGTCATTAGGCTATCATTTTAGTCCCTGAAATTTCAACTTTACTAAAACCATAGCAAATTCAATTATACAGGGATAGGTTTTGCTTTCCATGGATCACCTAGGATTCTTTGATTGTTATTCTTGTGGTCTTTTTTTTTAATGTTATTATTATGTTCTGTGCGTTAGGTGGTACAGTACAGTAAAATAAATTTCATATCGGTATTCTTTATATAATTTGGAGGTGAATGATGAAGTTAATAGCACAGATTTAATTTTCCTTTGATGCTGCTCTTCCAGAAGACCCAAGTTCAGTTCCTAGCACGCACATTAGGTGGTTCACAACCACCTGTAATTCCAGCTCCAGGGATCCAATGCCTTCTGGTCTCTGTGAGCAATTACACTTATATACACATATGCACACACACATACATAAACACATAATTAAAATACACAGTTTTATTTTTTATTTATGCATTTATTTATTTATTTTTGATTTTCGAAACAGGGTTTCTCCGTAGCTTTTTGGTTCCTGTCCTGGAACTAGCTCTTGTGACCAGGCTGGCCTCGAACTCACAGAGATCCGCCTGCCTCTGCCTCCTGAGTGCTGGGATTAAAGGCGTGCACCACCACCGCCCAGCTTTATGCATTTATTTTTGGAGGCGGGTTTTACTGTAGCTCTGGGTGGCCTAGAACTCTATTGACCAGACTGGACTTGAACTCAAAGATCTACCTGCATCTACCTTCTGAGTGCTGGGATTAAAGGTGTGTGCCACCACAGCTGACTGAAATATAAAATAATATCTTAAAAAGAGAGAATTTAGTATTAAGGGATTATATTACAGTTTTAATTCTTTTTTGCCATTTGTTGGTGTGAAGACCCTTCTTAGTAACTGACATTTATCCAGACTGAACAGAACATTTAGGGATGCACCTTGGAACCTGTGTGTGTGTGTGTGTGTGTTTTCGAGATAGGGTTTCTCTGTAGCTTTGGAGCCTGCCTTGGAACTAGCTCTTGTAGACCAGGCTGATCTCGAACTCATAGAGATCCGCCTGCCTCTGCCTCCCAAGTGCTAGGATGAAAGGTGTGCACCACCACCGCCCGACTTCAACTGTGACACTTTTCTATTATTTGTGTTTTAAAGATTATGTCAACTTTGAAAAAAATGTGTGCCTTTGAAGTTTTGTTTTACTTGATATTCCCCACCTGCTACCTTGTAGAGAATTTGGGAAATAAAAATGTTAAGGGCGGGTGAAATGGCTCTGCAGACAAAGGTGATTTGCTCCAAACCTGATGACCTGAGTTCCATCTCTGGGACCCACAATTGAAAGGAAAGAATTCACATAAGTTGTCCTTTGCCCTTCACATGCAAAAAGTCCTCAGCCAAAAAAATCTGATTAAAATGTAAATCAAGAGGAATTAAGCCCTCGAGATCTCATCACTGCCAGTACTTTGTTGCATATCCTTTTAGAGTTTCTTTTCCTAATTGTGCAGTTTACTTTCAAACTACTTATACAACATCTCCAGAACATATTTATTTTAAAGAAGAAGTGCTTTTTATACTTGGGCTTATTGTTACTGTTTTCTCTGCAGGCGAATTTCCAATTATTAGCCCAGGTCGGATATACGAATACACAAGCTGCACCACATTTTCTACAACATCCGGCTATATGGAAGGGTATTATACCTTCCATTTTCTCTACTTTAAGGACAAGGTCTTTAATGTTGCCATCCCCCGATTCCACATGTCATGTCCAACATTCAGGGTGTCTATAGCCCGACTGGTAAGTTAAATTTTTTTTCTAGTGCTGGAGTACATGACTTTGTATTCTGAGGACCATCTTTGTTTAGGTAGATGAGTAGTTCATAAATGATGTCCTGTCCCCCTCCCCTGCCCCAAAAAAGAAGTGGACATTTTGAGGAAGTATCTTAGGGTTGTATTAATATATGAAGGGAGATAACCAATAAGTTTATTTTAGCTCCTCCTTACTTTTCAGCCAAGAAACTATTACTTGTTTCTCAGGTTAAACTTTTCCACTGTTGTCAACAATAGCTATGTTGGCCTGTGTGTATCAGATGATGTGAAAAGACCAAACGAGACCAATTAATACTGACTTTTGTGGTTAAGAATTGGAAAACAATTTCCTACAGTATTTTTACTAAGATTCCCAATTTAATATCTATAGATATCTTCACAGAGAATTTATTGGATAAAAATATACTTTTAGCAGTCCCCTGTGATTATTTTTCAAGTCAACCAGGCATATTTTATAAATCTTTTCTTAAGGTTACTTTGTGATAGGTACAGCAGTAACCCTAACTTATGGACTGTAAAATAATACGCAAAGTGTGTGAAGTCCTCTGTAACAGCTTGGGAATAGGATATTCAGAATCCATCTGTGTTGTAGACACCGGGTACTTAGAAATGCTGTCCTAGCTCCTGGAATGGGTGAGTTTGAGATAGTCCTAGAAAAAGGGACAAGCCACCAACCTTACTGAAAGAGGGTCCATTTTCTTAGTGTAAAGGACCTGTACTAGTCCAGATTTATAAGTGAACCATTAGCTTTCTTTCCAATGGGAGAATGCTAGAAACATGTTCCCAGTACTTGCTGCTCTCTGTGATGGACGGGTGGAGGGGAGGAAAAGGAGGGCTTGAGATAGGGTCTCATTATGTAGCCCAGACCGGCCTCAAACTCACTGTTTTTTTGCCTCAGCCTCCCAAGTGCTAGATGTGTGCCACCATGCCTACACCAGACCAGACTTCCAGTTTTGGTTAGCCCAGAATCTATGAGCTTGGTACCATCTTATCCTTAAATGGTTGATATTCATCAGTGAAGCTGTCTGAGACTGGAATTTGCTTTGTGGGGAAATTACAAACATGGACTTAATTTCTGTAATATGTATATTTTCTATTTCTTGTTTCAGTTTAGCTAGTTTGTGCCTTTCAAGGAATTTAGTCATTTCACCTAAATGTTGAATTTACTAGCTTAAGGTTATTCACAATATTCCCTTGATATCCTTTTAATGGCTACACAATCTGTAGTCAAATATATCCTCTTTTATTCTTTTTTTTTTTTTTTTTTTTTTTTGGTTTTTCGAGACAGGGTTTCTCTGTGGTTTTGGAGCCTGTCCTGGAACTAGCTCTTGTAGACCAGGCTGGTCTCGAACTCACAGAGATCCGCCTGCCTCTGCCTCCCGAGTGCTGGGATTAAAGGCGTGCGCCACCACCGCCCGGCCTCTTTTATTCTTAATATTGGTGATTTACATCCTTTTTATCACATCTTTTCTATTGATATTCAAAAAGGAACAGCTTTAGTTTTGATGGATTTTCTCTACTGTTTGCTTTTTTCTATCTCAGTGATTGGTGCAGTTTGTCTTTATTTCACCTACTTTGGGTTTAATTCACTTTTATGCAGCTTTTAAAGGTATGAGTTTAGATAACTGGTTGTAGGCCTTCCCTGTTTCTAAGCATTGTTTTAGCTGTATTGCACAGATTTTGATGATAGTTTTGGTTAATATTTAGTTCAAAATATTCTCAGATTTCCCTTGTAACTTTGACTTATGACTGCATAGAAATATGTTAATTTTCAAGTATTTGGAAATTTTTCAGTTATCTTTTACTTGTTGATTTCTGATATTACTGTGATTAGAGAACTTACTGTGTATTGCCAATATTTTTTAATGTTTTATGGCCCAAAATTATGTGAAGAATTTATCTATCTTGGCAAATGATCTTTGTGTATTTGAAATTAATATGTATATTCTGCCATGTAAGAATTTATAAATGACAGGCCAAGCTGATTGATTGATTGACAGTTTGTCAGGTCATCTGTATATTGCTCTCTTTCATGTTTGTTGCTTCAGCTATTGAAGAGATTATTGTTGAAATACTCAGTTAATGTTATGGCTTTGTCCATTTCTTGCTTCATTCTCGTCAGATGGCCTCATGCATTTTGAAGTTATAGAATTGTGTGCCAGTGCTTAGGATTGTTGTCTGTTTATGGGAGAAATTCTTCAGTTACCATCTATAATAACGTTCCTGTCCTAAGAGTAAGAGCATTGAGGTATGTTTGGACAGGCAGTCAAAATGGGTCAGCTTGATCCTTTTGTTTCTTGTTTTTAATATTATTTCAATGAATGTAAAGGTATGGGTTTTACTTAAGGACAGGGGTTCTCAAGCCTGTGTGTCTCATCACCTCCTTAGATGTGTAAGCATCATTGACGACTCCTAAGAACTTGTTTACATGGATGTGTCAGTATTTACCATATTAGAAATTAGAAGAGAGCGTTTATAATAGCATCAGTTTGTTTTAAAATTACAGTAAATAAACCCTTTACATGTTCAACCCTCTCAATTGTATTTATTTAGAGTTTTAGTTTCTACTTAACTACAAGAAAATGTAGATGCCCTGCTTCACAGAAAATGTTTTTCTCAAAGATGAACAGTCAATAGAAATGAGAATTGTGCCTTAAACTAAAAAGATAGTGGGGTTGTGCTTTTTGACCCTATTTCTGTTTTCTTCCTTGATATGGAAGTTGAATTGTGTTTTGCTTTTTTTGCCTCTACCAGTCTGACTAATCATTAGGGTTCATAATTTCTTTTCCTTTATACTTGCCACTGTTAATACACTTTGCATAGTTCAATGACATCCCTGGATGGGGTATCTATTGGGCTTGAGGGCACTATGGATATTCCTTGTGTCCGTTCTTCTCTGCTCCTCTCTTATGTGCTGTTTGTATAGTACACTTTCATCTGAGTATTTCTCTCTAATCACATTTGATTCCTTTAACAGTTCTTGTTTTCTTCATTAATTTAATAATTATACTACCTGATGATCATGTTTTAAAATTTCCAAAGCCTTCCCTATCCCTCCTTTTGTATTTCCTACAGAATTTTGAAAATGTCATTCCGTAGATTTAAAAAATAATGAAATGTCATATTTCTTTGTGTATATTTTCTGATTGTTACTGTTGTGTTATAATAAATACTAAATGACACAGTTCTTTCTCCTAAATTTTTCATTTGTTTGTTCATGTGTCTGAATACTGTAGTACTCAATACAACCAAAACCCCTGTCTTGGATTTTATATTCTAAACGGAAGAAATAAGCTAACATGTGCTCTTGTGTCAAGTAACAAGTGTGGTGGAGAAAATCAGGGGCTAAAAAGAGTACTAGTATAAGATGTGTCAGGAAAGGCCTTAGTGAGAGGTAAGTAGAGATATAAAAGGAGTGAAGAAAACAAGTCGATTTGGCTAATCAGCCAAAGAAGTGCTGGCTTTGAGGATTCTTAAGCAACTGTGGGCTTAGTGTGTTTGACACAAGGAGGCTTGAGTGCAGAGAACAAGGTGGATAGCAGTTAGAAACAAGATCAGAGTAGCCAGTCTAGGCTACATGAGAGCCTATCTTAAAAAAAAAAAAAAAAACGGGGGCCAGAGCAGTGCTAATGATATTAATGCCATAAAAGTCATGGTGGAAGGATTTTTACTGACATTATGTGCTAAGTTTCTCAGTATTCAGATTACCAGTTGAGCTCTGGCTGTTCAAATTCTAGCCAGTATAACAACAATTGAGTCTTGTGGTGTGTATAAGAAAAGCCAAGTTAAAGCCACGGCTTGATTAGGGATGCCTGCTTAAGCAGAATGACAGTCCAAGGACGTTTGACACTGCCTGTCTATCATCACAGGAGTCTGTCCCAGGGCCTCCAAATCTCCCTTTTCCTGCAGCATTGACTGATCTTAGGACTGCGCTTGTCTTGGGAATCAGCAGTGACACTGGCTGAGTCTGAGTTAGAAAAGGGCAATGCCTTGAGCTTAGTTCTTTCTCCCGGAGCACGTGCCTTTGGTGTCATGAGACCTAGTGTGAGAAGTCCATTTCTATGAAGCCGCCATGCTGGAGAAGGCATGTAGAGACCCAGCTCCACGATGGAAGGAGGTGCACACTCTTCAGGCTCCGGCTATTTGGATCATCCCAGTCCAGGTACCAGACTTAAGAGGGAAGAAGTCCTTGAGGTGAAGCTTGGTTCTAGTCACCATTCAACTGTAGCATCATGAGAGCCTTGAAGCCAGAAGTGTTCCATTGAGTGCTTCTCAGATACCCAACCACAGGAACTAGGAGATAATGAGTGACTGCTGCTGTTATAAGCAACTGAAAAAAGAAAAATATTTCTTTTTCAAAAGTGCTACTGATCTTTAAGATGATGTGTCTTTGGAACTTAATAAAAATATTTTAAGAACAGTGCATAAAAATTAGCAGTAGAGGTCATAGCTGATTAATATTGTCGCATCTTTTTTCTGTTAACAGATTTATAAGAATAAACACATTACTATGAGTTCTTTAAAACTTTATTGTGGGTTATTAGGAATAGTATACTTACCTCCATGTATGAATTACCAGCTACTATGTAAAGAATAGGTATTACTGTCTTAATGTATTTACCATTCAAACCATATTGAGCATTATTTAACATGTGGTACAATATACAGTCTAGAATCTTGCATTATAAGATTGTATATTCCAAGTTTGTAAAGACTTGTGCCCAGCATGTCTAGTTATCTGTATTCTAGGCTATAGAATTATAAGAAATGGTAGATATTCTTCTCATCAAAAGATTTTTTTTCTTTTTTAAGGAAATGGGTCCTGATGAGTATGAAGAGATGGAAGAGGAAGCTGAGGAGGAGGAAGAAAATGACTCAGCAGAGATGGACGAATCAGAGGACTCAGATGAGGATGAGAATGAGTCAGATGAGGTTCAAGGGGAGGAGAGACGGAGGAGGGTCTTTGATGTTCCCATCCGCAGACGCCGCTGCTCGCGTCTGTTTTAGCTGCTGTGGAAGGAAATGCTGGGATGACTATTCTGTTAAATAGATTTGTCAATAATGTAAATAACTGTGCTCAGCATATAGCAGAACTAGCATGAAATTGTGTACCAGACCTGCGTTGTACACGTCACTACATTAGGAGTTGGATCGCTTTGGGTTGTTTCATAGGTAGAGGAAGAAATGGGAATCTTGTTTTCTCTTCCAGGAGGAAGTGGAAGAGTGGGTCTATAACTAAAGAACAGATGTTTCTTTGTTTAAAAATATTTTCTTCTTAAAAAAAAACACAAAAGTGAAGGAAAAATTGTTTTGGATGAGGATTTGACATGTGGCAGAAATACACAAACAAGCATAGAAAGAAACTGTGAAAAGATCCCTTTTTAGTTGTTTAGAAACTAACAAAATTTGTAATTAGCTTTATCCTCTTCATGGTTGTTAATATTTTATACTCACAGGGAACTAACTGACAGTTTGAATGGGAATAGTTTGCTCTCTCTGTCCTTGAATTTAGTCTTTGTCACACAAACCTTGTGTTGCAAATTTTCATCATTAATTTAATGTCTTCAACATAACTTTGGACTTTAAAGTTAAAGTTCTCACGCTATGACCTTTCTCACACTATTTACAAATTCTTCATTTTAAATGTAATTTGTTTGTAAAAGTATGCAGAATGTTGCTGAAGATACTTCACAATGTCTCACAGAGTCTAAATTTGTAAATACGCTTTCTGTTTTGTTTCTTTATATACATTTGTCTAACTTTGTGGTAAGTGATCTGAATTTTATGTTAGGGTTAAGGCTATTTTCCTGAAACATGAAAATTGTTTTTTGTAATTACATAATTGAGAGTTTGGAATGAAATCCTTCAAGTGTCAAAAACTCATACTTTAAAAACGATTTTGTGTAAGTGCCTATTTCCCAAAAACTTAGTATTAAGACTAAGAGATGGTAATGGTATTTGTTGGCTTACAGCCAGAGTGCAGTATGTCCATTCTGAGTTGTCTGCTGGCTTTGATTATGCTCTCTTTGTTCTCCACCAATTTTCCTCTTAAACAGTTCTCTCATGGAGACAATTTAGGAAGAGAGAGCCATAATCAAGGCTAAGTGCCCCCTCTAAGGGACCATGAGCAAACTTGCTGCTTTACGATGACAAGTCAGAATATTTTGAGTCATTTTCCTACTTATTTTTCTTTTTTTTTTTTTTTTTCGGGGGGTTTTTTTGAGACAGGGTTTCTCTGTGGTTTTGGAGCCTGTCTTGGAACTAACTCTTGTAGACCAGGCTGGTCTCGAACTCACAAAGATCCGCCTGCCTCTGCCTCCCGAGTGCTGGGATTAAAGGCGTGCGCCACCACCGCCGGGCTTCCTACTTATTTTTCATAAAACGCTACAGTCTCCTGATGTTTCAACAACAGAAGCCAACAGTAACCTCATCTGGTGTACATCACATCTATTGAATGTGTCATTTTCTCTTGTGTTTGATTAAATCTCATGTTTTATTTGTTATGGCCCCAAAGCATACAAGATGTTGACAGTAAGTTGTCATCAAGTGCCTGACCCAGAAATGAAATTAAAAGTGATCAAGGACTATGAAGGGGAGGGAAATTCGCTGATGGCTGTTCCTTACTAAGCTTCACCATAGCTATACACTCAGAACAGGAACAAATGCGTGACATAAGCTGTTGGAACATGTGCCTCATCGAAGGCAATGAATTAGAAAATTCAAGAAAGGTCAGCATCAGGTCTGGAGAACCTTGTAATGACCTGACTTGACACAAGTGTGTTCTTAACATCACGATGACCACAGTCAAAGCAGGCTTTGTCTGCAATGTTGAAAGAGAAGAGTGGACCTGACCGGGATATCGGAATTACTGAGAGCTGTGGGTGATCTAAAATGATTTGGTGATTGTTTTAAAAATGCAAAAGTGAGTAGTGAACCTGCAAACTCAATGTGAAGGTATATGAACAGCTGACTAAGTTTTAAAAGCTAGGAAAGCTGACTGTGGAGGGCAGTAACTGCCAGAGCAAAGCTCTCTTCTATCTAGGTTTGTAGAGAATACATTCCCTGGTGTTTTCACAGTTAGGAAATCCCTGGCCACACAGTCACCTGATGACTCATTTCTTGGACTATATCACCATTGTTAAGTGATATATAACTATTATCAGGCTGCCAAATACTGTTCAGGCTACCCTGTTTGAAAAATGGTCAGTTGTTTCATTTAGGCTTTGATAACAAAATGCCTTTTGTTTTGCTTTTTTTTTTTCAAGATAGGGTTTCTCTGTGTAGTCTTGGCTGTCTTGTGTTGTAGAAGGTGTGGGCTGCATCCCGCCGCTTGGCTAGCTTAACCCCCAAAATAACCACACAGAATTTGTATTAATTAAATTACTGCCTGGCCCATTAGTTCTAGCCTCTTATTGGCTAACTCTCACATCTTGATTCAAGCCATTTCTAATAATCTGTATGTCACCACGAGGTCGTGCCTTACCAGTAAAGATTCAGCATCTCTGACCTGGTGACTCCAAGGCGGCTCTCTCTGCCTGCCTTCTTTCTCCCAGCATTCAGTTTTCTTTTTCCCACCTATCTAAGTTCTGCCCTATCAAAAGGCCAAGGCAGTTTCTTTAATAAACAATGAAAGCAACACAAATACAGAAGGACCTCCTACACTATTTCCTCTTTTGCTGTTTAAACAAAAAAGAAAGGCTTTTACTTTAACCTAGTAAAATTACATATAACAAAACAGTTATCAAGCAAGAATTACAGATACAATATTTATATCTATTTTATCTTTTATCACAACAAAGGAAAACTATATCTATTCTTCAACTCCATCAAAGACTCCAGAAGGATATAATATTACCTAAGTAAACGAGAAGTAAGCAACTTCCAAAACTCTAGAAATGACAAGAGACATCTTTTTGCCTGGACAGTCACCCAAAGTTCTTCTTTATCATTGGGGAATCCATCTTCCACCTACAGGCCTATAGTATCCAGCAGACTTTTCCATGAAGCAGGAAATTTCAAAGACAGTTCAGTCACTTTTCTGTGTCCTGCACAATGTCTCACAGACTCTTTCATGAACTAGGAACCCTGAAGAACCATCTCACCTTTAGGCAAGTTCAGCAGTCCTCTCTCTGTGGGTTCTTCCTGTCCAGTTTATGTAACAGTCCAGGCAAGTGGCTAGCAAACTCCATAAGGAGCCTCTTCAGTGCCCATGTTCCTCTTGAAGTAGCTGGTGATGCCAGGAGCAGACGTGTCTCATTGTCATGAAAAGTCCTAAAAAGTCCTAAGTTATTAAAACATTTAAAATGCCATATTCTGTAGTCTTTGAAAGATAATGAATAATACCTATCTAACTGTTAGAAACATGACTACAAACTTGACGATTAGTGATGATTGTTCATTAACAATCATTAAGTGAACTACACAACCACAATACCTTAATCAAGATCAGAGATACATATAAGAAAATTGACCTTAAATTTATATCAACAAAGCAAAATTTATACCAATGTAAATTATCCATATCTATATCATATCCCCCTTTAAATGTAAAGGAACATTTATAAACAATATTTGGAAATATGGATGAAACTATTTCTCTCCAAACTTCTTCCTGTGGTATGGGGGCGCTGTTAATCAGGTCTTTCATGGTGTATTCTATGTGTTAGGTTCATCTCAGTTACCAGTTAGGTGAAGTAATTTTCTGAGGGGTGTTCACAACAACCTTTCAGGAGGGCGTGGTCTATCATACCATATTAGTATAGAAGCAATCCACAGGGTTTCATCTTCTGTGAAAACAAAAGAAGAACCTTTTTCAAAGCATCATATCCTTAGACCCAAATTCTGAAGTCAAGATACCTTTATGATATACATGCTGGTTTAGATTAGCAGACCACACAATGAAATGTCTTTCTGTATTTAGCTCCTTCGCAGTCAAAAAATTCAAAGAAAACAATATGCATAATCCAGACTCTGAATTTTCCATTTTTACATGGCTTATTTTTCTTTCTTTTAATCTATAACTATCTGTACTCTGTCTCTTTAAACACTTTATCCCTTTTTTAAAAAGCATTAACTTTATTTTTTGACTCTATATTCTTTTCTCTTTTAAGACTACTACATACCTTTATTCAACAGTGTGACCCATTTAGAGGTCTTTTATGTGTGAATCTGTCCTATTGTGAATCTGTAATTCTTTACTGCCCAAGAACAGTTTTGCTTTGCAGTTTTAAATCGTTAAGTGCTTAAGAATCTAAGCTGTGACATTCATGGGTCAAAAACAGTTACTGTGGGCTCGCCCTGCCCAGTACAGCATGGCAGAGCCGCTTGTTGCACTGCTAGCATGGTGGAGCTGCTTGTGCCTTGGAGTCAGTTGTGCCTCTGAGCTGCGCAATGCTCCCCTTTTGGGCATACCATAGCACTTTATTCACAAACCCCATTTAAATGCCCTGTCTCCCACAAGAGACAGAGGTTGCGTTGGCAGCACAGCCCAGAAACTGGTATTTCAAAACTGCCACTTTCTAGTAGACCTGATCCGCTGCTTACGCAGGCAGGAAGAACTGAGCCAAAGGCATGGTCTCAGCTACTTTACTCTAACCCCGAGTGAGCACACAAACATCCAAGCCCACGAATGCTCCATAGCTGGAGTTTGCTCGTGTGGCTTTTTTTTTTTTTTTTTTTTTTTGCTGAGTCAAGAAAATCTGTGGCATGCTATGAGCAAACAGCAAAAACCTGTGTTAAACTCTCCCTTTTAAGCCCTATCAGGTTTTTAAGTGGATTTAGTCCATCATGTTGGGTGCCAAACTGTTGTAGAAGGTACAGGCTATGTCCCACCACCTGGTAGCTTAACCTCCAAAATAACCACACAGAACTTGTATTAGTTAAATTACTGCCTGGCCCATTAGTTCTAGCCTCTTATTAGTTAACGCTCACATCTTGATTCAAGCCATTTCTAATAATCTGTATGTCACCACGAGGTCGTGCCTTACCAGTAAAGATTCAGCATCTCTGACCTGGTGACTCCAAGGCGGCTCTCTCTGCCTGCCTTCTTTCTCCCAGCATTCAGTTTTCTTTTCCCCACCTATCTAAGTTCTGCCCTATCAAAAGGCCAAGACAGTTTCTTTAATAACAATGAAAGCAACACAAATACAGAAGGACCTCCTACACCAATCTTGGAACTTGCTCAGTAGCCCAGGCTGGCCCTGAATTCACAGAGATCTGTCTGCCTCTGCCTACTCAGTGCTCAGATTGAATTCATGTGCCACCACTGCCCCAGCAATGAAACTCCTTTGATTATGGTTTACAGTTAAAAAAAAAAAAAAAGGTAGCTAGGCACTCATGACTCATACCGTTTCCAATTTGAAAGGCTGACTGAAGCAGGAGGATCATAGTGAGTTTGAGACCAGCCTGGGTTACAGAGTAAAACTGACTTTAAAAATAAAATCTAGTTCTGTAGGCTGAGAAGTCTTTAAGTCTTTTTAAGGGCACTAGTCTCACTCATGAAAACAGTCCTTATAACTGCATCAACCCACCATCCCCCATCTTCATGAAGCTGCTTTGAGGATTAGTTCCAACATAATGCACAGGAAGGGGACATAGACACGATGAACTTCAAAAAGGACATTCCCAATAAAGCAGTAGTTAAAAACCATGTCAAAGTTCCCAAAGCTGGTCCCATGCTCCCTTGCCATCCTTTTGTGCCTTCAGAATTTGCCTCCTTGGAATATTCAACAGACTTTGTTACATGTTTTTTTCTTGGAGAGAGGACAATAATAGCAAAAGAAGATTCCATCCAAGCCCAGTTTGATGGGCCCATAAATTTCTCAAGATTACCAACAGGAATACAGATGATTGACAGCTGCAACTGAGAACAGCTTAACAGCCTGTGTGAGGACTCACGAAAGCATCACTACATGTAAGTGTGTACGGCTTATATAACCTTTGGAAGGGGTCTTCAGTCATAAACTTCAGTGTCTTGTACCTCCTTATGAAACAAGATAATGATAGTAAGTTGTCATCAAATGGCTGACCCAGAAATGAAATTAAAGGTGATCAAGGACTATGAAGTGGGAGAAAAGTCACTCATGGCTATTGCTTATTATGTCGGCCGTTGCACCATAGCTGTACTCGAAGAAGGATTGTGACAAACTGTTGGAGCAATCTGCTTCAATGAAGGCCATGTGTTTCATGAGCCGCCCTGCTACCTCCAGGAGGCTACGGTTTTATTAATAGGAACTAGATATACAATAAACCTCCAGGTTACACTAAAGTGTGATTAGTTGATAAGCCTCTGTTAACTACATTGCTGAAATTCTTAGAAGAAATTTTAATGTGTATGGGTGTTTTGCTTTTTGTTAAATCTGTGTACCACCTGTGTGGCTGGTGTCCGTAGAGGCCACAAGAGGTCATTGGGGTTCCTTGGGTTCTGAGAATTGAAACTGGATCCTCTAGAAAAGCAGTCAGTGTTTTTTACTGCTGAGCCATTCTTCTAGACTCTCAAATGA